TGCCCTATAACCCGACAATTCCATGTTCAGCAATGTATCTTAAGAATCAACTTGAACAAGAATATAAATAATATATAGCTGTGTGTTAGAACGCTTATCAAATTGTTGTTTATGTAGCAGGGTCCCCAATTCCACTGACACTATGATTCGAACGTTCAGAGAAAATGTAGCTCTTCTATTTTATCCATAACTTATTGACTTCCTAAGCTTCCACCTTCTGGTTAGTAGGGAAAAATGTAAAAAATGTCCAGTCTGATGTAAAGCTTAGTGTAAGCTGATAAGTTAAACAGTACTCCAGATAGTGTTCTCTTTGATAATAATGATAGTCTCCTCCGGATATGCAGGTATATGGGACAAAAGGTGTGTGGCTTATATACGTCATGCTGTGGGAGAGGGGAAAATTGGCCCTCCTCACCTTGGCTCGTGAGTGTGAGCTCGCACCAACTGGTGTCCGCAGGGATGTCTCTTGTCCCCCTGGTCTTGTACCCTGTTAGCCTCTAACACAGTCCATGGTCTCTTGGTTTGAGCAATGCTCTTATTAACTCCCACTGGCAGCAATACCTTAAGCTTCTATTAGGTCCTCCACCTAGCTCCCGACCTAGCTGATCACTCCTTTACTCTGAGTTCACACATAGGCCACGTGGCAGCCCACTGGCTCTTCCCTCAGCATCCATTACATAGTAACTGAGCACGCCTTGAGACAGCTAAACTCAGGGTTTCCCCCTGCCTGTCCACACTTCACAACTCTTCTGTGTCCTTGTTATTCTTCAGCCCATTGTTGCAGCCATTGTGTCAATCCATCTTTTGATTTCTTGACTGCTGAGTGTAGGACACTCCATAAAAAAAAATGCCATGTTCAAATTAATTTAGGAAATGCTGCATATTGTACCCTCTCAAAGAGATTCACATTAACCCGCTAAAGACTCGTGAAAGTCCTAAAGCAAAGAAGCCTGTTTAAATTTGTTTAATCTTCTTTCTATATTTTCTGAACAGAATTTTGTAGTGCGTACGTATTATTTTTATAATCCTAACAGTAATAAGGCTATTCCCATTTTTCAGTTGCACTTTTTGAGGGAGAAAATGAAGACAAAGATAGTTTTAAGATGGAAGACAACTTAATTTGAACCAAGAGATACTTCTTCATCTTAAGCAAATAGCACACTTTCCATTCTCTCGAAACCCAGCAAACCAAACACCATGCTTGCCCTGTTGCATCTTGAGTTCTTCATTGGACTGGTTCACCTACAAGAAGACTGGGAAAGGAGGAAAAAATGATGAGTGCTGAACTAAGTTTAAATTCCTTTCCCAAGAATTTACACAGCTTCCTCCCTTAATATGAAACAAACAATTTCATACAGACAAAGGGCTTTGATGACTTGAGAAGTATGGTCAGGATAAGAGTAGGGGGTAGGCAGAGGAAAGATAGTTTTTCTTCTTTTGTTTTTAAAGTAACTTTTTAAAAACATACTAATCAAATGATACAGTTTGTTAAAGAAAAACCAGAAAATGCAGATAGAGACACTTAATAATAAAAATTAAAATCAACTGTACAATGTTTAATACTTTGAGACTGAACTGTAACTTCTGTTGCAATCTGCTTTTTTCCACTAAACAATATTTCATGGATATGTTTCCACATAATTATCCTTCTACATCAATATTTTGGCGATTATCTTAGGCTACGTTCTCCAGAGAAGCAAAACCAGTGAAGTGTACATATACACACACACACACACACACACACACACACACATACATAGAGAGATTTATCTCAAAGAACTGGCTCATGCAGTTGTAGAGGCTGGCAAGTCCCAAGTTTGTGGGTCAGGTATCAGGCGTCAGGCTGGAGGCTTCTCCTGACTCACATAGCTGCAGGGGCTGATGAACCCAAGATCCACAGGTCAGATGGCAGGCTGCTAGCTCATGGCTGCAAAAGCTGATGAATCCAGTATCGGTAGGTAAGACGGCAGGCTGTTGGCCCAAATTCCAAGAACTGGAGGTCAGATGTTGAAGAGCCGAATGCAGGATGCAGAGCAGAGCAAAAGCCAGTGAGCTTTGCCAGAAAATCCACCTATAGTGGATGCAGGCTACATCCCCAAGGAAACGCTCCTTCAACTGATTGGCTCTTCACGGCAGATCCCATCATGGAGGTGATCACATTATATTAAATCTCACCATAGAAGTATCACATCATCATACGACTGTCAAACTATGTTACTTCCAAACCACTGAGAATTATGGCCCAGCCAAGCTGACACACAACCTTAATGATCAAAGTGACTATATAGTACTGCATTGTATGAATGTGCAATTCTTTATTTAACCAACTCCAGACTGAGTGATGTTTAAATTTTTTCCACTTTTTCACTATTATAACCCATACTAACAATTCCTTAGATATGTATCTTTGCGTACTTGTTAGTACCAGTTGGTTCCCAGGATCGCTACCTTTGGTTCCGGAGTGCTGAGAGATTATCTATATTGATTCCCTTAGGTAGTGAGCAGGTAGCCTAATCATTCATGCTTGGGAAAGTACAAGGTCAGCGAAAAAGAAGAAGACCCTCAATGAGATAGATCGACACAGTGGCTTCAACAATGGGCTCAAGCATAACAATGATTGTGGGCACGGCGCAGGACCGGGCAGTGTTTCGTTCTGTGGTGCACAGGGTCGCTATGAGTCAGAACCACCTCAACGGCACCTAACAACAACAAGTGTACTAGTCAGGGTAGCACTCAGCTGCTGTAACATACAATCCTGATATTTTAGTAGCTTAACAAAATAAAAGTTTCTCTCTCTCTCATGTCTCATTCTGATGCAGATCAAATGCCTTTCCTCCAGGTAGTGATTCAGGGATCCCAGCTCCTTCTATCATGTTGCTCCATCATCGCTGAGTCCTTCACTTCAAGCATATGCGTATGTGAGGGAGAAAGACAGCATGGACAATTGTAGGGGACATTTTATGGCCAGGCCTGGTGTGGCATATATCACTTTTGCCTACATTTCATTGGCTAAAATTCAGTTACATGACCCCAACCTAACTGCAAGGAAGGTTGGGAAATGCAATTTTCCTCTGTACTTGGGAAGAAGAAACAGGATTGGTGGGTATCTAGCCAGGCTCTGTCACAGTCTGCCTTTCTGATCACCTGATACGTTTCACTCTTCCTTCTGGACATGGAACACAGTCATCCTGTAGTAGACGTGGAAATATACCACCCGAATTCCCTCTTGATTAATGAACGTCTTGTTTCCTTAGCTGCTGAGAGTGCTGTCAGCAGACAGCCTCTAGCTATTAGCTCTCTCAGTGTTTGCCTCAGCTGCAGAGAGCTGCCTTGTACTTCCCAGGGTAGCCCACATCCAATAACTGATAGAGGTGAGGTTATAAATGTCCAATAATTTCAGGATAATCCGGGACAACTCTAATTGGCTCTATGCACTTCAGAGCTCCCTGTGGGGTCAACCGAGGCTTTGTTGGGCTTGCAAGTAGCTTGACTTCTCTCCCTCCCTTCCACAGATGTTGATCTTTAAATATTCCGTATGCCAAACTCCTATCTCAGAATCCACTTCCAGTACACCTGACCTGTGCCACACCCCTTCCCCAAGTCCAAAATCCCGTTCATGACTGTGTCCAGCTTGAAGTCCAGAATATCTGGGTGATGCTTTGTTCTCTCAAGTATGGGTGTGGATCTTCTTGATTAAGTGACCTATGAACTGAAACAAAATCTATCTGACCTGCGCTCTCCACAGTCCACGTACAATGATGAAACATGCCTATTTGGAAAGCGGAAGAATGGGAGACACAGAGCAGTCACTGCTCTGTAGTAATTCTGAAACCCTGCTGGGCAGACATTGATTAGGCCCAGATCCTGCTTTCTAGGAGGTCCGTTGTCCTCCCTGTGGGAAGCTCTTCCTATGGCTGCATCTGAAGACAGCATTGTGGAGCATGTCCGCCTGGGGGCTGTACAGCCTTCAAAGCCTGAGTCTTCCTCATGAAGGTGGGAGATCCAAATATTGTTTCAAGTCTCAAACAACTGGTGGCTCATTGAGCTCAGGCTCATGGTTTCTTTCTGATTCATTCTGTATTGGGAACCACAGGTGGCAATGCCACACCCTTAATTTGATCTTTGCCCTCAGCCACTTTATATTAGATTGTGAAGTTTGAATATTCCTTTACCACGCAAAGCCTTTTTGAAGCCCATCACATACTGGGGATTTAGGAGCAGTTTGGCTTTTTGAACTCTGCAGGGCGCCACACTTCTCTCCCTCTAGTCCTTTTCATTTCTTCTTGAAAACTGGCCAACTATTCCCTGACCTCGTTTCTTTTAATACCGTTGTTGATCGCAGGTAAAATGTATCACATAGTATATTTCATAGGTTCCCCCACTTGTACTCTATCCTCCAATTTCTCTGTCTTTTGAGCCAGGCAAGTAGTCATTGCTTGGTAAATGCTGATTGAATTAACAGAATATGGGCTTTTATAGCTATGCCTAACTATTTTGTTTTCCTCAGGATTAATGCTGTTTTAATATTACTTATGTAGAAAAATAGTTTGGTAAATTTGGTATATTTTCCATGCATAGCTCCCGAAATAAAGGGAAGGAAACTTAGGAGTTAACGAAGTTAATAAAATAATCAGTTGAAAACACAGGTTATTAAATGTCACCTGTCAGTCATTGGTAAGGGACAGGGCAGATTGGATAAAAAAAGAAGAGACTTTTAAAGAAGGAGTTGCATGGCCATTCAGAGTTTTGTTCTCAAGGGTGGAGGGACGCTTTGCTGGCCAGCCTAGTTAAGGGGTGGTGGGTGATGGGGGGTAGGGGGTGACGATGGGTGGGAGGGTGATTTGCCGGCCTCGTCTGGCACCCCCTTGCACTTCCTGTGCCCGGGGGGCAAATGCTCCCCTCTAATCCCCCCTCGCTACTCCTCTAGTGTGTAGGCTGGTGGAGAACCTGATTGTTACCGTCCCTCCCTCGCATTCCCTCTCTCTTCATCCCATAGCAGCTTACGTGAGGCAGCAGAGGGTCGCCATTAGTGCTGTGGTGATAAGAAAAGCAAAAATGGCTGCTGGAGGGATGGAGCTCTTGACGAGATCCCACAAATAATCCCTGAAGTTGCCTAGCCAGGACCTGTGGTTTTCTGCAGAAAGAACATAGATGTTAATTGAGGAGAGGTTAAGTACCTTGGCCAAAATGGCATGCTGAGTAAGTGATGGGGCTGGGATTTGAACCCTAGTTCAAGTTCAGATAATTGCCCAAGAGCCCATATTCTTAGTTACTTTGCTGTGCTGCCTCTAAGATTTTTAAGGAGTATACGTAAGAAACAAGGCATCTTCAGATAAATGTCAGTTTTGCATCTTCATAGATCAAATAGGAACAATTATCTCTGTCCTAGATATTTTAAGGGTTGTTTTGTGGTCTTGTACTTTGTGAAAGAGGAGCATGAGTTGATAATAGGAAAGTCTCTATTAATGTGTTGTTTCCTAGAGTATGTCTTGGGAGTTCTGCAGGAGACTGAGGGCAATGAGTGCCCTGGGAAGAAGAAGGAGAAGGCCACCAGGGCAGCAGCTCCAGGAGCATCCAGAGGAGGAAGAGGCCAAGGTAATTGGGAGGAAGAGATTTGGGGGGAGTCTGATGATCAGGGTAAGGCTGGAGATAAAGGGTCTTTTCTTTAGGAAGGGGGAGGGGATAGAAATGAGAGGGTACTGTGATTTGACCCCAAGGAAAGAGGTCAGGGAAAACAAAGGTGCAACGTGGAGTGGACACTAGAAAGGACCTGAGCAGCGTGTGTGTGTGCATATTGGAAGCAGGGCTTTGCGGGCCCAGTGGATCATCAGTCTCCTCCCTCAAGATTTATCTTAAATTTCACCTCCTCTTTCAAGTCTAACTAAGTTAAATAGTTAAATCAGAATAGTTTGCTTTCCTCTGAACATCATTATTTTTAAACAGAAAATCAGATTTTCCTGACCTGGGACACGAATCTTAGGTCTTATGAAGAGGGGAGCATTTATCCTAACAGCAAACACACCCCTTGAACGTGGTTTAGATTCTGCTTTGTCTTGCATTTCAAAGGCAGATAAAGGTGAAAAGGAAACCACAGTCTCCAACAAGATGCAAGTCAGAGAGCATAGGAGAAATCCTATGCTCAGTAGTTTCTGGAATTCCATGGACTCTGCTGAAGTCCACCCAGAGGTGGCTGAGCAGCTGGCACACCTAGCTCACTGGGTCAAGGGGAGATTTCTTTGTCCTTGGATATCCACTCTTTTCAAAGCAGCTTTTTCTGAAAAGTTAGAAAATGGTGGTTTAGTTCTTATTGCAAAAAGCTTCTCACCTGCATGAACACAGAGATAATTGACTGACTGACATAGTTGATCATGGTCTGTTTCCAGAGCAAAACGTATCCCCCCTCCAAAAACCAAACAAAAGAAAAAATAGAAACAAACTTACTGTGCTCTATCAGGTCAGATACCTGACATTCCCTCCTAAACTCTACCTGCCCCCTTGCAGGTTCCCCAGCTTAATTAGTGGAAAATCTTTCAGCTGTTCAGACCAAAACCTATGGCATTATATTTGCCTTTTCTCTTTCAAGAAACCCTGGTGGCGTAGTGGTTAACCGTTTAGCTGTTAACCGAAAGGTCAGCAGTTTGAATCCACGAGGTGTTCCTTGGAAACCCTATGGGGTTACTACGAATCAACTCGACGGCAACGGGTTTGGTTTTTGGGTTCCTTCTCTTTCACTCCCACACCTTACTCATCAGAAAAATCATCTTAGCTTTCTCTACAAAATGTATCCAGAATCTGGCTACTTCTCACCACCTGTACTGCTAACTCCCCCACCCCCCCATCTCTGTCTTGAATTATGCTTCCTTCGCTGGTCTCCCTGCTTACATCCTTGCCTCCCTTCCACCTACTCTCCACAGAGTGCCCAAGAGATTTTGTTAAATTGTAAATCAGATTATGTTGCCGGAAACCTGCGATAGCACCCCGTCTCATTCATAGAAGAGCCAAAGTCTTTATCGTGGTCAACAAAGCCCTCTGTGATCTAGCCTCTAGTTACTTCTCTGACCTAATATCCTACTAGTCTCTTGATCACTCTGATTTAGCCTCATTTGCTCTTGAACAAGCCAGACATGTTCCTACCTTGGGAATTTTTCACTTGCTATTCCCTCTCCACCACCACGTGTCTGTCAGTGTGTCATACTGTGGTCGCTAGCGTGTTGCTGTGATACTGGAAGATTTGCCACCAGGATTTCAAATACCAGCAGGGTCCCCCTTAGTGGATAGATTATAGCAGAGCTTCCAGACAAAGATAGACTAGGAAGAAGTGCCTGGCAGTCTACTTCTGAAAAAATTGGCCAGTGAAAACTTTATGCAGCAGAACATTGTCTGCTATAGTGCCGGAAGATGAGCCCCTCAGGTTGGAAGGCACTCAAAATATGACTGGGGAAGAGCTGCCTCCTCCCAGTACAATTGATTTTAATGGCGTGGATGGAGTCGAGCTTTCAGAACCTTCGTTTGCTGATGTGGCATGACTCAAAATGAGAAATAACAGCTGTAAACATCCAATAATAATCAGAACATGGAATGTACGAAGTATGATTCCAGGACAATTGGAAGTCATCAAAAATGAAATGGAATGCATGCATAAAGATCGATGTCTTAGGCATTAGTGAGTTGAAATGGCCTGGTATTGGCCATTTTGGATCAGGCAATCATATGGTCTACTATGCTGGGAATGACAATTGAAGAGCAACAGCGTCACGTCCATTGTTAAAAAAAGAACATTTCATTTCAAGATCTATCCTGAAGTACAATGCTGCCAGTGATAGGATAACAGCCATACTCCTGCAAGGAAGACCGGTGAATACGACTGTTATTCAAACTTACGCACCAACCACTAAGGCAAAAGATGAAGAAATTAAAGATTTTACCAACTTCTGCAGTCTGAAATTGATTGAATATGCAATCAAGATGCAAAGATAATTACTGGTGACTGGAATGCGAAAGTTGGAAACAAAGAAGAAGGATTGGTAGTTGGAAAATATGGCTTTGGTGATAGAAATGATGCCTGAGATCGCATGATAGAATTTTGCAAGACCAATGACATCTTCATTGCAAATACCTTCTTTCAACAACATAAACCAGCGACTATACACATGGACCTCACCAGATGCAATACACGGGAATGAAATCAACTACATCTGTGGAAAGAGATGGTGGAAAAGCTCAATATTATCAGTTAGAACAAGGCCAGGGGCCAACTGTGAAACAGACCATCAATTGCTCCTATGCAAATTCAAGTTGAAGTTGAAGAAAATTAGAACAAGTCCAGGAGAGCCAAAGTATGACCTTGAGTATATCCCACCTGAATTTAGAGACCATCTCAAGAATAGGTTTGACGCGTTGAACACTGATGACCGAAGACCAGACGAGTTGTGGAATGACATCCAGGACATCACACGTGAACAAAGCAAGACGTCATTAAAAAGACAGGAAAGAAAGAAAAGACCAAAATGGATGTTAGAAGAGACTCTGAAACTTGCTCTTGAACGTCAAGTAGCTAAAGCAAAAGGAAGAAACGATGAAGGAGCTGAACAGAAGATTTCAAACAGTGGCTCGAGAAGACAAAGTATTACAATGACATGTGCAAAGACCTGGAGTTAGAAAACCAAAAGGGAAGAACACACTCAGCATTTCTCGAGCTGAAAGAACTGAAGAAAAAATTCAAGTCGCGAGTTGCAATACTGAAGAATTCTATGGGAAAAACGCTGAACGATGCAGGAAGCATCAAAAGAAGATGGAAGGAATACACCGAGTCACTATACCAAAAAGAATTGGTCGACATTCAACCATTTCAGGAGGTAGCATATGATCAAGAACCTACGGTACTGAAGGAAGATGTCCAAGCTGCACTGAAGGCATTGGTGGAACACGAGGCTCCAGGAATTGAAGGAACACCAATTGTGATGTTTCAACAAACGGATGCAGCACTGGAGGCACTCACTTGTCTATGCCAAGAAATTTGGAGGACAGCTACCTGGCCAACTGACTGGAAGAGATCCATATTTATGCCTATTCCAAAGAAAGATGATCCAACTGAATGCGGACATTATCGAACAATATCATTAAAATTACACGCGAGTAAAATTTTGCTGAAGATCATTCAAAAGCAGATGCAGCAGTACATCAACAGAGAACTGCCAGAATTTCAAGCCGAATTCAGAAGAGGGCGTGGAACAAGAAATATCATTGCTGATGTCAGATGGATCCAGGCTGAAAACAGAGAATACCAAAAAGATGTTTACCTGTGTTTTATTGACTATACAAAGGCATTCGACTGTGTGGATCATAACAAATTATGGATAACTTTGAGAAGAATGGGAATTCCAGAACACTTAATTGTGCTCACGAGGAACCTGTACATAGATCAAGAGGCAGTCGTTCAAATAGAACAAGAGGGTACGGCATGGTTTAAAGTCAGGAAAGGTGTGTGTCAGGGTTGTATCCTTTCACATACCCATTCAATCTGTATGCTGAGCAAATAATCTGAGAAGCTGGACTATATAAAGAAGAACGAGGCATCAGGATTGGAGGAAGACTCATTAACAACCTGCATTATGCAGATGCCACAACCTTCCTTGCTGAAAGTGAAGAGGACTTGAAGCACTTGCTGATGAAGATCAAAGACCACAGCCTTTAGTATGGATTACACCTCAACATAAAGAACACAAAAATCCTCACAACTGGACCAATAAGCAACATCATGATAAATGGAGAAAAGATTGAAGTTGTCAAGGATTTCATTTTTCTTGGATCCACAATCAATGCCCAAGGAAGCAGCAGTCAAGAAATCAAAAGACGCATTGCATTAGGCAAATCTGCTGCAAAAGACCTCTTTAAAGTGTTGAAAAGCAAAGGTGTCACTTTAAGGACTAAGGTGTGCCTGACCCAAGCCATGGTGTTTTCAATCGCCTCATATGCATGGGAAAACTGGACAATGAAGACAAAGAAGAATTCGTGCATTTGAAGTGTGGTGTTGGCGAAGAATATTGAATGTAGCATGTACTTCCAAAAAAACAAACAAACCTATCTTGGAAGAAGTACAACCAGAATTCTCCCTAGAAGCAAGGATGGCGAGACTTCATCTCACATACCTTGCACATGTTATCTGGAGGGACCAGTCCCTGGAGAAGTACATCATGCTTGGTAAAGTGGAGGGTCAGAGAAAAAGAGGAAGACCCTAAACAAGATGGATTGACACAGTGGCTGCAACGATGGGCTCAAGCATAACAACAATTGTGAGGATGATGCAGGACTGGACGGTGTTTCCTTCTGTTGTATGTAGGGTCTCTGTGACACCTAACACAATGGCACATAGCAAACACTTCCCTCGCCAAGGAATGCTTTTCCCCTGATAATTACATGACTCATTTCCTTACCTCCCTCAAATGTTCAAATATCACTCTTTCAATGAAGATTTTCCCAGTCTACTGTAATATAGGTGTATATTTTACTATTTATTTTCTTTTATTATCTGTTTCTCCGGAAAAAAAGTGAACTCCACAAAGGCAGGGATTTTTTTGTCTGTTTTGTTCACTGAACAGTACTTAGCATATAGGTGTTTAGGTGCTCAATAAACATTTTTTGAATGAAGGAATTATGAGTTTTGGCAGATATTTTCCATTTCCTGGCCCAACAGTCATTCTTACCCCTTTTTGCTTTACTACATTCAACTTGAACTGGAAAAGCTGAATACTCCTTTTTCCCAGCCACCCTTGTCCAGGCTATATGACATAGTTCTGGACAATGAAACATAATGGAAATCTGATGGATACCTTCTGGGAAGAAGTTCTGCTGCTTTGATAAAAGAGATGGTGCTACCATTTCCCTTCATACTGCCTTGAACATTGTTTAAGATGTGTTGCCTGAAGTTCAGGTGGCCCTCTTGTGATCATGAGGTAATGTACAGGAGAAAAAACCTGTTGCCATAGAGTTGATTCTGACTCATAGCAATCCTGTAGGACAGAGGAACTGCCCCATAGGGTTTCCAAGGCTTGCAATCTTTATGGAAGCAGACCACCACATCTTTCTCCCACGGCGCTGCTGGTGGGATGGAACCGCCAACTTTTACGTTAGCATCTGAGCACGTAAGCACTGCACCACCAGG